GCTGATGTGTTGTATAAGTAGCCATGATCCTCTCCGCACTTCTTTCGTCGCTTCTGGCAAGCACTACACGCAGTTGAATTTCGCTTTTTTGGATGTTGCAGCTCTACCAATGGTGCTGCCAAGTCAGCTTGCGCTGTTGATGCCTTTGAGCTGGAGGTCGATTTCTTAAGCGCATGCGGGGTGTGTTCTCATTCATCTCCACACCTGGATAGTATGATCGGAAAACATTCAGAAGATGTGGCCATTTTCCTCGGAAACCATGCAAATTCTTCGATAGTTTTTGCAATTCTTGAAGGTGTTCGTCTGCAATTCGAGCAGCAGGAGCGCGGCTCGCAAAAGAAACTTGGAGTTGCTGGTGTAGTGACGACGCCTTGGTGCTGGCACGTGGCGGATACGTGGCAGGAGTGGGTGATTGAACTACAGGCACACTGTTATCAGACGGTCGTAGTTCGGCAGTATCAGTTTGGAAGAAGGTGCTGGCAGGCACACGTTGATGTGGTTGTGGTGGATTCTCTTGAGACTGTGATGAAACTCTACTTGCTCCACCGGGAAGTAATTTGACTTTGATTTTCAATGATTTTCCGGTGGTGCTCGCCTTCTTGATTGCTTCCCACCGCGTTGTCAGAACCTTCTCATGCTGCAAAATCGAGAAGCATGCAGAAAACTTTGATCCTCTCCGCCTTTGAATTGTACTTTGAGGTCCGTATTGCCGTGAAAAGGTCAATTTGCAGGCTTTGTTCGTTGGTTGATAGCATCTCAACACTTGCTCTTGGGTTTGTACACGGAACCGGAAGATGTTGGAGTGTAGCGATGCGTTTGAAGCAGACGTGTGTACTTGGGGATTCGTCATCTTCAAGACAGCTTCCACGGTTCGAATGCTGCGACGCCGTAACTTCAGCTGGGAATTACTATTGGTGGCTACTACAAGATTGTACATGACGGTCGTGACGATGACAGATTCAGCCCATGTCCGACGAGGAGCTAGTTGCTCCCTTCGCAACTGTCGAAGTAACTCGTATCCTTCCGCAGAATTTCCGGTGGCACCTTCGTGGTTGGTATCATCGAGTCGGACTGAGTGCATGAATACGCGGCGGTCAATAGTTCCGGTTTGAAGTGCAGTAGCATTTTTCGTAAGTAGTTCTTTTATGAAGGTAAAATGCTCTCTCGACTGGGTCAGATTAGATTCGAAGGCTTTGGGTTGGACACGTGCACTGTGAAAGATGGTCTGCCACGTCTTAAACGGGAAATCTTGTGGAGTAGCTGATCGATACTGGGGCGGTTTGAAAGGTGTAGACATGAGGCTAGTGACAAATTCCTGGTCGCGAGAGGTTGCAACTAGCCCTCCGGTTTTGTGGCTACACAAAAGTGCCGAGCGGCATGCTACAATAAGATCAAGCTGGCCTAGCTCGGGATTTCTGCCGTATCGTGCTCCTATGGTAAGGTTGTGTTGAACGATGTGAATGTCTAGGATGCGAAGTCCAACTTCTGCCCGCACATCCCGTCCAAGTAGCTTCTTTAAACCAGAATGAAACCCCTCTAATTGACTGGTTGAAGTGATTCGGACAGGAGGCCCTCTACCTTCAGTGTACACGTTTGACTCAACATATAGACCCCCTCGAGCTATCTGCTGGACATTGCTTTCTATGGACCCTTTCCATTCGGCCTCAGTGCAAGACAATTCCTCGATCTGAATTCTGCTTAAAGCATCGCGAAACCGGGTCTCCATGTCCGTGGGTGCTCTGAGCTCCCGGTTTACATCATACATAACTTCCTTGGGCTGCTTGCACAAGAGCGTACGAGCAGATTTCGATTTTACCTTTTCACTAAAACGAGTAATAACGTGAAAAGGATCTTGCTTGACCTGGACTGTGTCACCGTAGGTTTTTCCGATTAGTTTTCGCACGGCTGACGCATTGTCGCTAACGACAAAATGATCACCGTCAGCCGCAACCTGGGACTTTACCTCGAGAAGCAAACCCCCCGATGCCTCATTTTCACTTCAAGCCAGCAGAGGGAACAAAGAATTTTTTAGCTCCTCTCGAAGCGTTATGGAGCATGATCTGGGCGACGAGGCAATGGTCAACCCATCTGACCTCGCGGAGGTGTCCATCCTAAGTGGGGAAGAAATCAGGGTGACGCAGGAAACCACTACTACAATGGCCGTCCAGAGAAGCGTCGCCGACCAGCATGACACAAGACGACAGATTGATCAACTGGCGCATTGTTCGGCAGCCGCCCATAAAGCTACTGTAGAGCAAACTAGCCAAGTACAGCAGCATCAGGACGTAATCGCGTTCAAGACAGCCGATTACTTGCAACAGCAACATAACAGACAGCATTGTTC